CAGAATAGAGGTTTTTGAATATTCTTTATAATATGTAGCCGTTATAGAAAAGTGTTGTATCAAATTTGCTTGTAAGAGTGTCAATACCTTTATATTTTCCTAATCCTATTTTATGTAATTACAGATTATACAAATACACAGTTCAAAAAGATGTTTAATTTTTCTTAGTTATGATTCCGTATTTCACATGAAAAATTTTTGCAAGGCTACTCCAGTCATGGAGAAGGAAAAGATGTTCCAGGAAGTCCTGTCTGATCCTTAGAAAGTTTGTTGTATAAATCCTATTAGTATCTTGCTGTGAATGATACTGAATGACAGCAAATCTCTAGATTACAGATACAGTGCATTTAAAAAGATTCCTTGGATAAAATGTAAATATTTGTTCTACTTACTTTTTAAATTGAGTTCTTTTTCTTCCAGTAGAATTGCAACATAGGAGTGTCCAATTTATTCAGTTAATTTATTAGGCCACTGCCTTATTTTATTTGCCTGTAAACTTTAATTGTTTGTATTGATTTGGTATTTTTTTATTATTTCAATTGTTGTCTTTATTTGAAGTCTGCTTTTATAACATTAAATATATTTTTGTAAGTTCTTAGTCAGAAGTTCCAATGTGCCAAATATATGAATATGGTACAAGGACAACATATTTGATTTAAATTATGTTGAAGTTTAAGAAAATGTTGCCAGTGACTTGAAATCCATTTCAGTTCAACATTAATCTAAAAGCATTGTCATGTTGTGAGAGGCACTAATTAATTTATTTAATTTCATAGCCACAATGGCTTTCATATAGACAGTATAATTTGGGTTGATAAAGGTGTCACTATCTCAGGGCATGAGAACGGACTGCCTTGTTCTCTCTCTTCCATTTCTCTCTGTTAGAAGTTCTTGAGGTTTCAAGGCAGGGATTCCCAAGTCTAATTTGTTTGGATGGTGTACCTTTAGCTCCAAAGTCACCAGACAGAAGTTTTCAGTTTTTTGTGAAGGTAAAAGAGGCAGGCTCTGGTTTGATGCCCTCTCAAACACTACTGTAAATGTGCTTAAAAGAATTTTTTTATACTTCTTTTGGGAGTCACATTTTCCTTGAAAAGTAGAGGAAGCGTCTAGGATGTCATACTTAAAATGGAGGTAGCTAGCAGTGACATGCAGTATTTATGCATTTATAAACAGCAACTACTTCATCATAAACTTATACAATGTAAATGGTCTTCTGCGCTATTGTGAGATAAACATTAAATATTCACTTTTTATGCTAATGCAAGTTTTCAGCTATATTTCCTACCAGTTTAGGATAAATGACATCTCCGCTTATTTGGGCATTAGACAAATTTCCCATAGTCCAGTGGTTTGAGCACTCACAGCAGAGTTAGGAAAACTAAATTCAAGTTACTTTTCAAGGAGTATGTAATTATGGTGCAGCATGAAAATACACATTTTTCAGACAAACACCTACCTGTGTGACAAATCATATAGTTTTTCATCAGTTTCATCTCCTAAATGAGGAAGCACACAGGCTCTCAATCTAATTGATTACGATCAAAGGAGGTAGTAAATCTTGCAAATCTGTGTTAAGTGCATGCAACTTTGCTTTATTTGAGCAAATGGATTGTCTGCCTCATTATGCTGATGAGGGTCTTCACGCTTCTGTGCAGTTGTTTCTGATGTTGTCTGGTGTAAGTTTACCATGCCATCTCAGTATGATTTCCCCTGGGGAACTAAGCTCAAGTAAGGGTTGGGCAGCCAGGTGCTGCATCATTAACAGTGTCATGAAACTCTGCTGTAGAAATTGGCTTATAATTTATCAGTGGAAACTCAGGAAACCTGAAATTATATTTATGTCAGGTCTTCTTTGAAGGTCCTGACAGGTGTCAGTACTTTTCAGGAAAAAATCCCCCAGGTTCATGAGACACATGGATGACATCCTTTATCATTTTATATTCCCAGGTTTTCTGGCCATGCAGTTATTTCACTTTGGTGTTGAGGAAGCGTGTTTGGACCTATATATATGGTTTTGGTTATGGTTTTGGTGGCTTGAACATAATGTTAAAATTTGGAATTTCTCTATTTGTTTTTGTTGAAAACGCAGTAAATATTGATAAAGATCAGAATCTTGTCTTGAGTCAGAATTTTCCAAGAAATTACACTTTTGACTGAAATTCACCTTTATTTCTTCTGGTTTGTCTTTAGAGGGTGATTGACCTTCTAATGTATGGTTAGAACTGTAAGATTGCAGTTCTAAGAGCAATATGGCTCTTTCAGAAAGAGAAGTTAGATAGGTTTAAATTGAAAAGCTTTACTGAAGTAGTTGCTTTCAAATCCTAAACTCTTAAAACCCAGTAACTTGAGAGTCAAAGAACAAAACAAAACCAGAACACTCAGAGTGCCATTAAATGTACTTTCCAGACACCACTAATTTTTGAATTACATCCTGGAAGTGCTGACTTTGCAGGTAGTTTGTGATAATCAGATCTTAAAGTTGTGCAACTCCTACCAGCTGATGTTCTATGACCTTTGGTTCCAGGTCCTGGTAGGAACGTGGTGCATATTTCTACTAAGAGTGAAACTCCAATGGTCTTAACAAATAATGGCAGTACTCATCGTGTTTAACAGTGCTGGAAATTAGTTTCTCAGGCACTGATCTTGATAGGTCAGCTGCCACAAATTGGTATACATATCTGTAAATGCATCGGTGCCATAAATAAAATTCTGTCTGCAATAAGTGGAAGCACAAATTGGCACACTTCTAAGTAAGTGAAATGTTCTGAAGCACAAAGATATTAAGGGGAAAAATCTCTAATGGAAAAGGATTTCCTCATGTTCCATCTATCAAATTTATCTGCATCATTTGCCTTTTAGAGACTGGAAAAATTGTTTTTCTGTACAGAACACCATGGAGTTCTGTGCTGATACACTGTGAAATATGCTTCTCTTCCTTGCACCTATCTCTACTGCATAAAAAGAGAAAACTTTGGTTTCGAATGAAAGAAAAAGACTTAGAGTCTTGCAATAGTGTGTTTCCATTTCCTTTTAAGAATTCTTATTTTAATACAAAATGCAAAATATAGGGTATTCAAATAGTTTGCCTAATACGAAGTCAAATATAGTTTATGAAGGGGAAAGGAACAACAGAAGAAATTGATGTCAGTCCACCTGTGCTGAAGTAATCAATTTATTTTACTTTCCATTCTTGAATAAGTAGTGATTGTCTATAGATTGCGTAAGCCATTTTTGCTGAAACTTTCTCTGTGTCTTCACCATTATTGTATAGAACAGTCCAAGAAAGCTTAGATAGTTCAACGTTCTTTAATGATTTGAGAGAATATGTTTACCACATGCACTTAGATTGGTATTTGTTGAACCATACTGATTCTTTGCAGCTGGCAAATTGGTTAATTTTGTGTAGCAATAGAAAAAGCTAAGAAACACGTGAGGCCATATTTCAGAGCAAGCATCTGAATTTGAATTTAAGATATACAATGGCTATAAGTATCTACCCATATTGCGGAGTATTCATTATAACTCCAAACTTACATCACAGGGAGGGGTTTCAATCTGAGATAACTCAGCTTTCGGGCGTGTCATTAGGAAGCTTATGATTAGTCATTTATTTTCCTCTTCTATCCCTCAAGTCAGCTGGGTAAAAGGAGGTATAACTTTAGTTCTTTTCTTACCTGCGTCTCAACTGGAAGATTTAGAGACTATAGAGTAATTGTATAATAAATAATAATAAATCTACCTCTGTGGTAGACATGACAGCTGAGTCATCACTGATTGTCCTGTTCTTTTCTACATCCCTGTTTATCACTTCAGTGCAACAAAACAAAAAGAAAACTATACAGATCTCTCCTGTCACAGTGTATTTGTTGGTTTGACTTTTGAGGCTTTAGGATATGACTAAAGTCATAGAAATAAATCGTGTAGGACATCTAGCCATAGGCAATTTCAGCAAAATAAGTTCTTTCCAAGTAGATTTTGACTTGCTACATGAAAATTAGCTTCTGGCAGGAAGAAGGCACATTTCACATATCTTGGACTAAGTTAAATATCTACAGGGCATGCCTTCAGCTAACAGCACTGCCTCCTATGTGAACGCAGTATTGGTGTTTAAGAGTACAGCTGGATTTAAGAGTACTATGGATTCTTTTTCGAGTTAAAAGGAGTGTCTGATTTCTGCTGCCACTGAAGAACGTATTCAGTTGAATAATGCAAGGGTCACTTAAGATTGACTTTTCTGTTGAACCTCTTTCCAGAAAAAGCACTAAAATTGATTTTGAGGTGATAAATTTAATTGAAAAATAAAATATTGACGTGTCATGTTCTATGGAGGTATCATGAAAATACATGTCTTGCATATAGCAAATGCACATAGTACCTACAGAGGTTATCAAATATTTGATGATGGGAGCTTGGGAACTTGAGAGGCTGTCATTGTTTTACTGATGAGGTAGAAGTAGGGCAAGAAGAGATAAAATAGAACTTAATATAGAATTTGAAGACAACCCGAAATAGAAGGCATTTTGCCTCCACAGAATCTGTGTCAAGATTTTATAACCACCAGTGAACAAGAACATCATGCAGCAGGAAAAGAGGTTGGTCTTTGATGAACTCTAGAAAATGATTTAAAAAGTAGGGGAAGATCTGATGTGAGAGAGGAGTATGGGATATTGAGACTGTAGAGATAATCCTAAGGACTGTCAGGCAATATAAACTTACTGTGGAGGGAAAAGTCATATCATAGTAATCTAGATGAAGTAATATGACAAGTACTCTAGATAATAAAGCAATTTTATTACAGACATTAATGAAAATACATTCACACAAAAGATTAGTTTCTGTTCTCTAAATCTCACCAATTCTGATTCTGCACTTAAAAAACTCACTTCTCTTATCCTGTATGTTAGTTCTGGATTCAATCAAGCAGCTGTTAAATGTTTATGTAAGTGCTGAAGGATTTCTGCCTACCAGTGTTTCAGACTCACTGCACTTTCTTCTTCTAGTTGGCAACGTGGGACTCTGAAAAAGGACTGAATGGTAGCCTGCAAGAACGACGTCTGGGAAGTGATTTACAAGGACTGACACTCAAAGTGGTGACTGTCTTGGTATGATCCTATTTGAGTTCAGGAAACAAAATGCTCAAAATAAAAAGGTTGTGACTGAGTATTCTGGGCAATTCCTTCAGTATTTTTCCCTATCATTTTCAATTTTGTATTTTTGGATGATCAGTTACATAAGCAAGGAGCATAGATGATGGCCTTATGTTATTTTATGTGAATCTATGCACTGTCAGAGATGTACAGTATTGGCTTGTTTGCTTATGCTGTTTTTCTGCATTCAAGTTCATACTGCACACAGAACTACCACAAGACCTGAGTACTCAGGGCTGCACTTCAGATATGCAGTTTCCAGCATTTAATGGATTTTTAAGATCAGGTGGGCCAATTACAATAATCTGATCTTGGCTTTTGTGCACTGCAGGCTATAAAATTTAAGTGTTTCTTCCATCAAATTCATAACTTCTTGTGGATAAACTGTCTTTGAAAAGAGTGGTATGCTGAGTGGTATACTGATACCGAGTGATAGCAGAGCTCCTATTAGTTGAATGCTAAATTATGGACAAATCAAGACAAGAATGCATTCCTGTCTAAAATATTGTAGTTCCCAGATTGAAGAATGTGATATCTTTGTGATTTTGTTTTTCTTCTTTTTAATCATGGTACAAATAGGAAGTAATGTGCGAGATCATTAAAGAAATCACTCCAGCTTTCTTTCCACAGTTAGTTGATAGGCAAGGTTATGGTATAACATGCAGAGGAGGTTGTCAGTACCACACCACAAATGCAGACAACTGCAGAGGAATACAGCCAACAGCCTCAGCATTGCCTCTCAGGAGAGCAGATTCCCATTTCTGACAGAAAGTGTACAAAAAACTGCTGCATTCCTTGGTCTCAAAATATACTTCAATATAAAATATGCCAGCAAACAGCACCTCTGAAAGATCTTCCTATTTCAAAATTTTAAATATTTAAAAAACCAACAATTTTAGCATCTGCTTTACTTACTCCTGGATAAAAGATTACTCATTGTCTATCAAAGATTACTTTCTAAATCTGATATGATCTGAGTTGGAGAGCTGTAATGTTCCTAAGACTCATATGCTTAATACCTGTTTTCTAGGCAGTTAGTTGAAACATTAGCCAGTGAAGAGACAGGTATTCCAGAGAGCAATTCATCCTGCAGATGCCAGGAGGAAGTTAAGATCTTCTGGGGTCTCTGCCTCTTCTCGTGAACTGTGTAAAATCGAGGACCGTGGATGGGACAGCTCCTGAAGCAATGGTGTCTGGCAGGGATGCCTGTGAGTGTCCCACCCAGCCTACAGATTTTTCCTCAGGATGTTCTGAAATCTGTGCTAAGTTGTCCAGAATTAACTCAGAATAAAATGATTTTGCTAAAAACGTAAACTGAAAAAATTGTTTCGAGTATCAGCTGAGACAGTGTTTTGTTCTCAGGAAGAACCTTTTGTGATGGTGGCAGAGAACATACTTGGGCAACCAAAACGTTACAAAGGATTTTCCATTGATGTCCTGGATGCACTGGCCAAGAATCTGGGCTTCAAATATGAGATATATCAAGCTCCTGATGGGAAATATGGACACCAGCTTCAGAATGGCTCCTGGAATGGCATGATTGGAGAACTTATTAACAAGGTATGTAGAGAAGAAGCTATATTTGGGGGAAAAATAGAAAAAAAACAACAACTCTGCAGAGTAGGATGTCAAGACTCTGGAAAGGGATTGCTGAAATTCTCCCCTTCCTCCATTGCAAATTACAGGAGGTGGAATTGGGATCAAAGAGCTAGTACAGAACACTTCTGAGTTTTGGGTGTTTTGACTGTGGTCTGAACTATGTATTTTAAAACTATAGTAACTATAGAGTCTGTTGTTCTATTTACCCCCAACTATTATCAATGTACATTATATAAATGTAAGTCTGTTTCTATAGATGCCAGTATAAAAAGAAAGCGATTTTCTGTGTGTGTGAATGAATAAGTACAGAAAGTACGTCTTTTTAACATATGAATATCCATGGAGCACTGGAACAGGCCGCCTAGGGAGGTTGTGGAGTCCCCTTCTCTGGAGATGTTCAAGACCTGCCTGGATGCCTACCTGTGCGACCTGCTGTAGGGAACCTGCTTTGGCAGGGGGGTTGGACTCGATGATCTCTGGAGGTCCCTTCCAACCCCTACAATTCTGTGATTCTGTGAATTAACTTTTTTTTTTGTCGCTATGTATTTGCTACATTGCTTTAAAGTATGACTTTCTTTGTGTCACTTTATGGCAGTGTGTTTCCTAATGATCAACTGTTTGACTCCAAAGCAGGAGAAGTATCCCAAATAATATATGCTTTAAATAATTTTTTTTAAGGACTAGAATTCTAAACTGAGTTTGAGATTATTCATTTATTTAAAATAAAGGGGAAAATATTTTCTTATTTAATTCAAGTCTTACAAATCAAGAATAAATGAATTAAACTTCATTAAGTAAGTGGGAAAAGTCCAGGAGAGTCAAATTAGAATGTATTTTGTTTGCATTCTCACTGTCTGACACATGAAAAATGTTAATCAAGAAAAAGAATCAAAGGAGTTAATATTCTGTGTTACTGCCCTTTGTAGAAAAGATTACTCTTCTGCACTAGAGTTGTTACTGGGAATAAAGGCTTTCTCGTTATCTAGTAAGTAGGCGTCTCAGTGTCTGGTAAGTAGATGCTTAGGAAGAAATAGAAGCAATTAAAGCGCTATCAAATGTGTGTATGATAATGGAATAATCTTGGTGGCAGCTAGGAAAAGTAAAGGATTTTAGACTTATTTTGCATTGATGTAAGGTATTTGACTTTCAGTCTAGTAAGAAATCCTGTGAAAATTCTTCAGAAATTGCGTACTTTCAGGTAACGTTATTTATAGTGGTATTTCTGCTACTAGCTTTTCCACCAGCTCAAAAGGAGAATTCCTTAACCTAATATTTACTTTCCTAACAAAGCACAGAGATAGGAAACAGAAAGTATGTTTTTTTTTGTTTGTTTTTTGCTTTTTGTTTTTTTTTTTTTGGTAGAAAACTGTTTTGAGATGAAAAAATAGGCAAAATCTAATAGCAGCTCTTAAAAGCTTTGGGGATCTTATTTATTAAACACTTCTCTTTCATTGAATTTGCGTAATCTTAAAGGTCCTTCTGTATATAAATCCTGCTCATTTTAAATATTGAGCTCAGAGCAGGAGCTGATTTGCTTTTGCGCATTCTTACAGTTCTTAATTTTTGCAAGCACTTTATTCATTGTAAAAAACAACAGGACCTCCACCCAGAGATGTCATATGAAATCCCTTCATGAATACGGGAAGTTGCCAAGACTGCGGGGATAACAATGAACTGTAGCTCTTCACAACTTGCTACCAAGTGCACAAGCTAAATAAATTTTGTATGGAGGAGTAAGGAATTTTTTAAAGTAATCTTGTGGTGATAATAGAGTAAAAGGAGCATTGATACAACTGTGAGGTCTGTGTGACTGATGTTTCATTTTTACTTTTTGCAGTGCACTGAGTTAATATGGTTTCAAGTTTTAGACATTGTTTTGAAAATGAGTGAGACTTAAAGGTTAAATAAAAGGCAAGCATTCCAGACACTTCTTGTTCTGCAGTGCTTTGGCAATTTACATTTCACTTTTCTGCTTTAAACCAATGCAATTAACATTTGAATGATGAAACTGATTTATTGCAAGTTGTCTTAAAATGTTAGGTTTTAGAAGTGCATGGAGCCGCTTGCTTTTTGAAAAACTCCTGAAAGGAGTATAGCAGAATTCATGGTTACTGAAGGAGATCTGACCTGTTGCCTTTGTCTCACAGAGAGCAGATCTAGCGATTTCTGCCATCACTATAACACCTGAACGAGAGAGCGTTGTGGACTTCAGCAAGCGGTACATGGACTATTCAGTGGGGATCTTGATCAAGAAGCCTGAAGAGAAAATCAACATCTTCTCTCTCTTTGCTCCTTTTGACTTTGCGGTGTGGGCTTGTATTGCTGCTGCCATCCCTATAGTTGGTGTCCTGATATTTGTCTTGAACCGGATCCAGGCAGTCAGGGCGCAGAATGCCTCCCAGTCAAGCCCCTCTGCCTCCTCCACCCTGCACAGTGCCATCTGGGTTGTGTACGGCGCTTTTGTTCAGCAAGGTATTCAGTCTGATAGATGAAGTGTTCTGCCTTGGATAGAGCATTTCATGATATGTTAGTCTTGACCAGAATGTTCTCAAGATGAAAGATAAGTTTTATATGAGGAGGTAATATGTTTTGTTAGCCGAAATAATGGGAGAATAGTTGAGCTTTAGGGTGTGTGTTCTACTTCTCTATTTCTCAGAAGGTCTGATAAAATGAATCTCAACAGACTTTTCCACTTTGTGAAAATGATTATTTGGTAAATAAACCGCAGAGCTGCTTGATGTGACATTACAATACCACTCAGCAACTGGCAGCTTTTCTAATTATTTAAATCTGATTTTAGAAATTCGTGTGTTTTTGAACTCATGTGAGACAGTTTATCTTTCTGTCATTTAAAACCAATAGTAAGGTGTTCTAAACACTCTCATGATTTAATTTCTGCATATTAGTAGTACTTCAGCATAAAACTTTACTTATGTAGAATGTTATTTATGTTCTCTAGGTTTGATCCTGAATAATGCCTGAGGGAAACATTTTGAAATACCATTTTCTAGAAGAGTATCCAGGGCAAGATGTTAACTATCTGTCTTAGTGGAAGTAGCTCTTAGCTCACAGAAAAAGGGTGGTCTGAAAGCACAAATGCAGATGGGTTACTTCAACGAAGTTGAACACAGTAGGACGTACAGGGTAAAAGCTCCTGATGCACCTTTATTTTCCTTGTTTGCTTTCAGGGGGTGAATCTACTGTCAATTCTGTGGCTATGCGCATTGTGATGGGAAGCTGGTGGCTCTTCACCCTTATCGTGTGCTCATCCTACACAGCAAACTTAGCAGCATTTCTCACAGTATCAAGGATGGATAATCCTATAAGGTAAGAACCTCTTCTTAACATGAAGCTGGAAACCTGGATTTCACAGAAATGTTTTATCCATTTGAGCAGTCATTCTTGCAAGAAGGAGATAGCTTTCTAATAAAATAATAGTCCTCGTATTTGTGACTGCTTCTCTCTTCTACCCTCCCTGCTCTTCATTGACTCCAACATTCCCCAAGCAGTTTTGTTAGATGAATGGAGGGGACAATGGCATTTTAATTCTATGTTTTTCAAGAAGCAAGTCTTTCATGTTTCTTTGAATCTTTCTTAATTAGAGGTCCTAATGCTTCAGCTATCTATTTTTCTTCTTTTTTCAGAAGGAAGCTACTACCTCTAGGGAAGTATGTGTTATTTCACTTTTCACCTTCAGCTTATAATTTTATATTCTTAATACTTTGATAGACATTGTTCTTTATGCCATTATTTGCATATAAGATAATATAGGAGAACTTTAAAATATAAATGACCCTGTTTGGTGGCATTATTTTCGGAAGAGTCTTCTTTGCACAGAGGATAAGATAACCAAATCTGACTCGAGGATAATAGATGTAATATAGCAGTTGTTATATTAAATTTATATATAAATCTCTGTATTTGTGTTGGCAATGTTATGATGATAAATTACAGCTTCTGTAACAAACCCAATTTATCTTGCCCTTTGACTTCTTTCCTCTGCCATCTGCCTACTAATCTATATCCTGTGAGAATATTTTCAGGCCTCTGAGCAGGTCCTGAGAACTGCTGACTGTTTGTTGGCTTTTTTTTATGTTTGTTTGTTTGTTTTTCTTTAAAAATTTAACAGTTAAACAAAATTTCCCTTTTTTTCTTTCAACATGGACAAAATTTTTAGCTTCACATTGCCAATGGAGCACTGAGAGGGCCATTTATTGTCCTCTTTCACTGCTGACAGGATTAGAGCCTGGTATCTCATGTTTGATCTGACAGCAATTGAGAGGAGAGGTGTCTAGAAGACAGGCATTGCAACACAGGCTCTCCTAGAATATGCTGATGCAAAGATTTTAGGTGCTACTGATTGACACGGTTACTATGTCAATCTCATTTGTGGTTTCAGTGGCCAACCTGAGAGCAGAATCTTTATGCACAGCTCCTAAACACTAAGTTGCGCTGTTAGCATTCAAATGAGGATAGCTCTTAAAAAAGCTTTTGCGTCATTATCCTGCATGGGACAAAAAAACCCTACTTTTCTCATGAGTTTCACAGTATTTCCAATTTAACTTGCCATTGCAAATGTGTAAAAACCATAATGCTTTGTATACAGATAGTGTTGTGATAATAATATGAACAATTCAGAATCATAAAAGCTTTGTTTTAAAATGAATTTTCTATTATTTTGTTTAGAATTAGTAGATTTAAACAGTAAAAGAAATAAGATCTGCATGTAATTTCTGGAAATAACAGGAGAAACTAAAGAGAATAAAACTAATGCTGCAGAGTATCTTTGCTGTAAGACCTCATCCTAGGAGGATGGAAGACTAAGGTTAAGCCCAATGAATAAATTGCTCTTGTAACCCAGAACAGAAATAGTTCTCTGAAAAACTTGAACAATGACCTTCAAATGATTTCTGTGAGTTCTATTTCCTTCATGATAGGAGAAATTGTCTGTTAGGTTTACTGAGCACCTGCCAAAACTCAGCAAATTTCAGAGCAGGGAAAATGTGGGATAAAATGCAGTGAAGAATCTGCAAGAAAAAAAAAAAATAGAACCAACCAAACGTATTTATGAGCTGAAATGCAGATCATTGGATGAGGTGTCTGAGGCTGATCTATTACAACATGTATAAGAGGATTTGATTTCCCATCTTATTGAAATTATTAAGAGTTTTGGGCAGGTGAGGTGCTCAGTGTTGTCTTGGGTTTTCCGAGTCCATTCTGCCTTCTCATTTCATAGATAACCACTGAAGAATTATGGTTATATGCCCTTCTATACCCAGTGGTGGCTGCTACGTACAAAGTTCAGAAGTATTGCATCTACTTGTACAAGGAGAGGATAGAGAAAGTAGGAAACACTATACTGTGATCTGCAAACACCAGTAGATTCATTCATGTGCCAAGTCAGAAAAGTTTACTGTTATTTAAATTGCCATAAGGCTCACTGCTTGTGCTCCAGCTGCTTGGCCATAAGGGCACGAGTTTCCTATAGATGTTTCAGCCAGAGTGTGGATTATTCTTACTGTCTGGAGTGTTTAAATTGATCATGGATGCTTTGGCTTTTGCACCCAAATCATTCCTCAGGTAATCTTAAATGCCTGCTATCAGAAAACTCTTAGGTTTAATGACTAGTTGGCAAAACTAAGCCACTTAGGGGAAGATATTTCATGTCACCTATCTTCAGAAGAAACATTTTTCATAGTTGTAGTGTCAGGTTTAAAACAAACATATTTCTCATGAAAGTAAGTTACATGAATGCATTATTCCCTGCTCTCTCAGTACAACCTAACTTCAGCATGGTATGATGTTGAGTATTTTTATGTTTCTAAATTTGCCACTGAGCTAGCCTGTGTTAGGTCTTTCATGGACCCAGAAAAGAATGCTTATTTGAGATCCATTTGTTCCCACCCAAAGAGGCACAATGAGTTATAGTTGAAAATTTGCTCAGCAGCTGAGAAGTGCCAAATTCATCTGTGTGTACTTCCATTGTTAAGAAACCAACCCCCTGTCCTCTCAGTAAGTGTTCTGTTATCTTTCCCTCCTTAAGAAAGTTCTCTGGTGTTCATTATTGCTGCTGCTAAATTGCTAGCAGGGGAGAAAATAGTACTTTGGTGCTGCAGAAGCTGAAACATAGTTAAAATTTTCATTACAAGCCTGATTCTCTTCCCAACCCCTCTGCAAAATACCTAATAGAAGTATCAATTTTTGCATGTGCAGTCTGCACCTAGCAGAATAGGCGTATGTTTGATTGAATAGCTAGGTGTCAATCAACCCAGTGATATTTAACTCCACAATTTTTACTACAAAACAAGCGTGGCATGGAAATCATAGATGACATTTAATAGAAAGGGCTTGGCAAGATGTTCACTGAAGCAAAGTTGAACTGTTGGAAGGTAGATTTTTAATATTAGCATGTCAGATGAAAGCCTGCTGATGAAAGAAACAATTTTGGGGAAAAAAAAAAAAAAAAATTGGTACTAGTAATTCTCAAAGGCTTTCCCACCGTGCTGTGAGTTTCAGAATCTGTCTGTGGTTCACAGAAAAGTGAAGTACTGGACTACACTGTCCAGGTGCCCAGAACACTTGTAAGAAATGTGCTTGGACAGAACAAAAACTTCTCCATGGGTTTTCCAAACCGTCATGGGCTTCATGGCTTCAAGGGGGTGAGAGCCTAGGATTCCCTTTCTTGCATGTCTGCCGATGCTGCCTTGCTCCCTTGTGTGTCTTAGCTGTCTGTTGCTCACTCCACTGTGACAGGTCAGTGGGAATGGTCAGAATGCAGAGTTTGTGACTCTCACTAAAATCCTTGTCTCCTTAAAAGATCAAGGATAAGTGAAAAGAGTGGAAGCCTTCTTAAGCTGCCCTCCATTCTCCAGTAGTAAGTGAATGTATTTCTGCTCCCCTTTGCTCTTCTAATAGCCTTTTCTGAGCCAACTGTCTGACCATTCACATTCTTCTCATTTTCTCTTTATTTTGTTTGTCTGTTCCATACCTCACAACAAGGGGACCAAGGCAGTAAAGCAGTCACCTTTCATGCTTTCTGTATTTGTGGAGATTCGCAGGCACAGCAGTGTGTGCTTTAGCAGATTTCCCAACCCCAAACAGGCAGAGGAGATACACAATACTAAGGAGAGAGCATTTATGTGAATGTGCTGGTGGCAGTCACTCTGGATATTGGACTGCAGGGCTGTAACCTACATTCTAACTTGTGAATGAGCAATTAATAATTTCTGTTTTCAAGTCTTATTTTAAACCCAAGTGATTTATGTGTATTCTAATATTTGCAATATGACCTGTGTGCAGCTGAGGAGTCTTTCAATGGATCAGTCTGCCAAATGAGGGCTAGACTATTACATGAGTTTGTTCTTTCTTTTATCATATTACATTATCAAGCAGCCCTTGGATCTGCAGTCTGACCTTCCATTTGTAATTATGAGTTTAATTAGCAGTGACTTAACTTCCAGCTTCTTTTCTTGTTAACAAGCAGACTACATGCTGTTCAGTAGTGCAAAGATATTCTTTAACCTGGTTTTAGGAGAGCTTGTGTGATAAGAGGTAAGAATCATGCAAGAAAAATTAGAACATAAAGGGTAGGCCATTTACAAATTCAAGAGTTGAAGATTTTATCAGATCAATCCTTAATATTTGTGCTCTCTATGGATTCTCTTAGATATACCTGCTTTTATGTTCACATTTATTTCATGATTTGGGGTTTCCTTCTTTGTGTTTCAGCCCACAAATTTCACCTCTTTTGGTGACAGCTGAAGATCCACAGCAGCTTAGTCAGGGTGATAAGTCAGGCACTTGGAAGACTTGGAAACAAAGTGTGATTTTCTACCACAGACTTTGTTTAATCTTTGCAAGCTGAGCCTTCTCTCTGTCTCAGTTCCCTCTCTCTCTGTGTAACAGAGTAACTTATTTCATATCTTACATGGCATGTTGTCACTTCAGCTGTTTTAAAGATGTTGTCTGGAAATGGCCATATTATAATAACTCCATAGGAATCAAAAAAGTTAGATGTTCTGAATTGCATACTAAACAGAAGCAATCTCAAAATATTACTTGGAATACTTGGAAAGTATTTTGAAGATGCCAGCTAGAAGAAAATGAACATAGGTTTCATCTGCTGTATTTAAATGGATTTGATAATGCTGGTAGCAAGAAGCTCACAGGAGTCTCTTTATTTGCAGTGATTTTGCCCTGAAATTTCTTGCTTGAAAGCAGCCTTTCTGTTTTTAATATTGCACTTGGCTTTCTAAATATTTCATTGGATTTTCTTTGATTGTTAATTTTATTATGTTTAGTTTGTACTGTGTTTTATCTGTGCAGCA